CCACGAAGAGCAAGCGCGTTTTCACCCTGAAAAGAGAAGGCATATATCACTTCGCCTGACCCCGTGTTGTTTTGCGGCCTCTTGAAGATGTTAGCCTCCGACCCGTCGTTGTCGGCTGCTGCCGTGGCCAGGAGCTGGCCGAACGGCACCAGCTTGACCATCAGCAAGCGCGTCAGCAGAATCAGGTGAACCAGCATCACCACGGGGAACGGCTTGCCAGACGCCTGCTCCCCAGACACGGCCGATGGCAAGCCCGGAATCAGGCTGACAGCTGTGAACACGACAGTGCCCCGTCAGACCGGCGATCGGCGCAGGCGTCGCGACGAGACAGGCTTCAACGACATCGAGTCTTACAAAACATCGTCTGCTACAATACATAACTTATCAGCAAGCCAGGCCACCAAAACATGAAATATTATCACTTTATGCCATTTACATTACGCCATAACATGAGATGAACGTGAGCAATATCTTAACCAGATAGAATCATTTTAAATATTCGGCAGCCAGTTGATAGCAGCCACAGCGTGTTTGGGATGGTTCAAATTGTCACCACAGATACTTTACAGCCTGTTCTCAGCGGCAGCACGGCAAAATGATGAAAGCGTTCACAGTGGCTATGCACCGCGTTCTAAAGGCCGCTTGACCGTCAAAGTCGCACGAATCGACGGCTCAACCCAGTGTTCTAATATTCGGTCACTTGGATGGCACGTATGTGGATATGTTTCATGTTATTACACCCCGGCTTGTGGCTCGCTGCCGACTGCCCATCCCCTTGTTCAAAATCAGCCAATCAGCATCGGACTGCGCGGCTGTGAAACCAGTATCTATGCACCTCAGGCTTGACAAATGCACTAAGTAGGTCAGGTGTCTGGGTCGGGTCAAAGGGCAACGGATTGGCGCAAACCGATTGCGTGCGGGGCCGTCGCCGGATAGCCAGGATTCTGTTAGCATTAATGTATATCTAAATCCCGCACAGCCCGCTGAATGCATTTTGGAACGCTGGCTGAACCACATCCACAAGTGAGACCCACCATCGCGACATACTCTGAGCGAGCACCGTCCGATCCAATCCGTCCGTGATCCCGTGCCGGTCCGCATCCCTCGGCGAGCTTACCAGTCTCGGGCGCCGCCCTGAAGACAACCTCTGCGAGAAGCACCACGACCACGCCGTTGGACTTCATTTTGGCTGGCTGGCTGTGGCAGGCGGCGGCCAGTGTGGCACCGTGACGCGCCTGGAATGGCACCGGCGTTAGCAGCACGGACACCTAGCTGAAGCCGAACGCCGGCCACAGAGTGTCCGATTTTAGCTCCAACAGCGACACTACGTACGCTTACACTTGCCGACGGCCATGGGGATGGATCAGACAGAACCTTCTGGGGCAGCCAGGGACACTGGTCGGAGCGTCCTTGCTGGGGCAGCCAGAGACGCAAATAAAAAGCACAAGTTCCAAAGCTACCAGCACGATGGCACGGCCTGAAGGCACAGGTACTGCGGAAGCAAATATACATCACTGTGCAAAAAAGACGACAAACCGCAAACAGGATGCTGTTAACTGAGAAGAGGTGAACAGAGCAGCCTAGTCGATTCGATTTGGGAGCCAACGGAGGACTGTTCGTAACTACGTAAACTCAAATTCTCTCTGACCTTTCTCCGAGACAAATATTGGTCTAAGTAGTGAGCCCCTTGTAGGTATATGCACCTCATCCTACCCATCCCCTTACCAAATTTAAGGCCATGTATTCGTGCGTAAGTAACAGTATGCTGAAAGTTGAAAACTGCATGTAAGTCCGCAAAAAAGAGAAGATCAACAAAGTGCAGCATCCATTTCAGCAGTTCCAGGTACGCAAGAGACGGCGAGGGCCGTACCGCCGTTTTCAGTGAAAGCGTTGGAGTTGTGTCCCGCTGGTGAAATTTTGGGTGCGCCTATGCACAAGTGCCACATATTTCTAGCGGCCGTCAAGCCGGTGTCACCCTGCGGAACGGCATCGCGGGACGGCTTGTGGGAGCCGTTTTTCCTGAGCGGCGAGGCACGGCACCACTGGAAGTTCGTGCGCCTGTCCCCCGGCGACGGCCACGTTGACTTTCGGCTACACCGGGCCTGCACACCAAATTTGGAGGCAATCGAGACGCCCCGCAATATCACATTGGTATGTTACGCAGCGTATAACTCGAAAATTACGCAAAATTCCACCTCATAGACAGTGATTTCCGAAATCAGCGTGTTGAGAAGGCCCTGCACACCAAATTTGGAGGAAATCGAGACGCCCCGCAATATCAAACTGGCAATTGGATATCAATCTGCTGTTAGATTGACAGAAGTCCTGCCGCCGGTATCGCCACGGCCGCGCCGTTTCAGGGACACCGTGAGCGTTCTAGTTCGGCATCATTACGCTGTGCTGTGACGTGGTCTACTTAAACGCGACCGCGCTATGATTCGTCTGTCGCTCCATAATTGCGCACCTAAATGCGCTTAAAGTGAACAAGTGACAAAACTTCAAATATTTCACCAAATGACATTTGTCAGGAATTTGAACGTGGAAAAGAACAAATAAAATAGCTGAATTATTCTGACCACATGTACTAGGTTTCCATGCTAGATTCATGTGATTTTTCCCTGATTTCTATGACTGCGGTCAAATCTGACTGATCATATAGAATTTGCGCAGCAGGTTGATAACCCGAAATCTGCATGATTGTTTGTAAATAATTCTCGTATCCATTGAATCTTAAATATATTGCATGTCATGACTATTGCAGCACGCCGCTTCGATGGTGACACAATCTTAACGTCCACGGCCGGTGCTTTTGCAGTACTTTTCTTGTTTGAGTCCACTTAACACAAATGTGTACATAATGGCCAAAAAATGATGTGGGAAGCCTGCAATCTTGGTCTATGAAATGTGCAATTTTGAAAATACTACTGAGGTACACGCGCCCTGTTGAATATTGACGAATCTGTGCCAAGCTACCATATTATACATGGTAGCTAAACGGTACCGGGCTGAACGACCTCGCTGCCATATGGCCATTTTTATCGGGTGCGGTCAAACCCTTCTCATTTCCTCACCTCTCAAGAGCATTTATAATTTCTGCTTAAGACAACATGAGAATGAATACCACCACAAGAAGAACTTGATATTAGTTCAGTTCTAGCGCATTACTGACGTCATTGCTTGAGTACATGGATAAAGCCATGCGTTGATATGCACTAGAAGGTTCATAGACTTATCATTGATTTCTCTGTCGTATTTGTAACATAACTAGAATCTATGAACGCAGCAGGAGAGGTTGATCAGACTCTGGCTGATGATCAGAAGTGGTTGAAATTGCTCGTGCACAGTCATGCTGCTCCCCCTTTGAAGCACCTTCAAAGCTTTATCTCACGTCGAGAGCGGCCTTCCAACAAGGCTGTTTAACGTTGAAACGACAGTGTCCTTGGTGGTTTGTATATACCAAAATTGTATGAGGATTACATGAGGTAAATGTGTCAATGAATGCACATCTGCATTTTTATTTATCTTGAGTGGTTGGGCCAGATTTGTTAGCCAATGCTCTATTAAAAGGAGTCGCTGGTTTTGCCCCTGGGTGTTGTGTCTCTCTTTTTTGGCAGCACTATGTTTGGGCTTGTTAGATGCATGTGTGATACAGATGCTGAAAATCAGAAACAGAATTCTAGCACTGTTCTGGTGTTTTCAGTTTCTGAGTAAAGGTGAGTGCTGTGTAAAGACCAAATGCATTTAGCCTAACATAGCATTTAGCCTAACATATCTGACAGTTTGGATCGCACTGCATGACCAGGTGATTTTCAGTTACCGTCCTTGTCAGAGCTGGTGTCAGAATTAGCTTCGATTTTCAATAAATATGCTTCATTTGCCAATGACTTTGTGGACTGAAAACGAGTCTTCTCAATTTGTGGACTAGGTAGTGTTGCAACCCGGAGTTTGGAAGCTATGTGGAAATTATCACCAATCCTTTTGTCTTGCATTTAACTGAAAAGACATAATTCAGACTGTTAGACTGTTGTTGAATTCCTTCAAAGGTTGGCATAATGCAAGATGTTGTACCTGCAACAACGGCATAGTTTTGGAAGACTATATCCCTGTTCAGTTGGGGGGGGGGGGCCAACACTGAAAAACAACAACGCCTACCCTCAAGAGATTCCAACAAACGAGTTACTCTACAGATATTGCTCAGCTTCTTCTCAAGCCTATGCCAAAGTTGGGAGACAAAGTCTCTCCCCTCAACTGAAAAGGAAATGATACACCTGGTTTGCAATAAGACGGACAATTTCATTTTGTTGTAAGGTGCGAGAATGGTGCGAAGGTGGATGTGCTAAACCGCTTCCTGAAGATTAAATAGTGTAACTGGCCTTGTATCACTTAGTCCGTACCAATGGCTCAGTTCATTAGAGCGCCTGGCCTCTGGTCCACCTACCCGTGGCGGGTTGGGCTCAAGTCGGTTTTGGCAGCCGTTATTTCACCACTGAAGGCAGAACGCTAAAATGCAAATTAACCTATAGAGCTTGAACTGATGTTTGGAGGTATGCAAAGCCGCAACTTCTCCGCCAGTGCCACCGTGCAATGAGTGTGCCCCACCCGCTGCCACTGCCTGCACGCACTGCTGCCTCATACTGGGATGGGCACACTACTCTCCGTTGATTCCTTGCCGATTTGGATCGCTTCGCGAATGCTCTTTCAGCTGTTCTTGCATGTGTAGCCAGATCCGAAGGCTCCCGACCAGGGTCACGCAGCAGGTGCGACCTCGCCTTTTGCGCTTCTCGCCGCACGCACACCTGAGCCTCACCACGCACATGTGGTCACGCGCTGATTTATAAGCCAGCCACAGCCAGCCCACCGAATCAGACTGTGGTCTGCCCGTGGTGTGCCATCCGGGACTGTGGTCTGCCCGTGGCGTGCCATCCGGGACTGTGGTCTGCCCGTGGCGTGCCATCCGGGACTGTGGTCTGCCCGTGGCGAGCACCGCATCACTGCCGAACATGGCCGCGGCTCATCTGCTCCTGCTGCTGGCGGCGTCGGCCGCCGGACGCCACCTGGACGCCGACGACGTTGGCCTGGGTGCCGGGGGTGACGGGGCGTACCCCGAGGAGCTCAACCCGACGCTGACCGACGACGGCCTGACCCTGATCGAGTCGGACATCGTGCTTCCGGATGGCGTTGACCGGCGGGCGCTCATGGCCAAGCGGTGGCCGCTGGGCGAGGCGGTGCCGTTCGTGGTGACGCCGGAGGTGGAGCAGCGGCGCACCAACATCGAGGCCGGCATCAGTCACATAGAGGACGTCACCTGCGTGACGTTCCGGGAGGAGCCTGTCGAGTTCGCCGGGGCGCCACATCTGCGTTTCATCAACGGCAGTGGCTGCTACTCGTTCCTCGGCCAGATGCAAAACAAACTCAGCGGTCAGTCCGTCTCGATCGGCAAAGGCTGCGCCGCACTGGTGACGGTGGCGCACGAGATCAGCCATGCGCTCGGCTTCTTCCACGAACAGTCGCGACCCGACCGTGACCAGTACGTCGAGGTTTTGTGGGACAACATCAAGCAGGGCAAAGAGGCCAACTTCAGGATTAAGGAGAACGCCGAAACGCTCGGCGTCAAGTACGACTTCCGCTCTATCATGCACTACGCTAAGTTCGCCTTCTCCACTACGGGCATGCCGACGCTTCGTTCGGTGGACCCTCTGCAGGGGCACTTGGTGGGACGGCGCATAGGAGAGATGACCCACCGCGACCCGCGCAATCACCAACATCGCGTACCAATGCGCCAACCACTGCACCGAGCCGCCCGCCTGCCAGAATGAAGGCTACGTGGACAAGTTCTGCCAGTGCGTTTGCCCAGAGGGTGTGGAAGGCGCGCTTTTGTGAGAACGTGCCGGATGACTACAGCTACTACGGCCCGGTGTGCGGCGACGCCGACATCACGACGCCCGGCGTGATCACCTCCCCCGGCTACCCCGACTCCATGGAGAAGGACCGCCACTGCTACTGGCTGGTGACGGCGCCGAGCGGCTTCGCCGTCCGCCTCACAGTCACCGACGTCTCGATGACGACTCCCCGAACTGCAAAAGCGCGATCGTATGTCGATCCGGGTGGAGGGAGACCTGCGCGACGAGATCGAGTCCGATTGCAACACGCGCCTCACCGGCCGCTTCCTTCGTCTCGGTCGGCAACCGGCTGCTGGTGTACTTCCGCACCCGCGGCCGTTCCAGTCGCGGCCGACGCTTCAGCGGGTCGGTCGAGTTCGTGCCGGACGTGTAGATCGCGGGGCGCAAAGCAGGCTGCGGGACGGGGGAGACGGGCGCTTCATTCAAGAAAGTGGCAGTGGGTGATCCTAGCCGAATCGACACCACTGTCTTGCAGGCAGCTGTTTGCTGATCTTGCTTACGAATACGGCGTGCCCTGTTTGGCATTCATCTGATTTTTTAGTTGGTTCGTTGATGTTGTGTTTTTATTGAGTTACGCCAACTATCAGGCACTACTCCAAACATCAACGGCCAGAAAATCTGCTACACAAACATGATCTTACCATTCTCATGAGTGGTGTGAAGGGAATCGTTCGATTTTGGGGTATGTAGGTGTGGCCTACTTTTTTGTATCTGCTTCAAACACACGACATTCGGGTGTGCCATAGTTTGTTATCATTGCGCTGAGGTGTCGTTGCTGGTAAACATCAACCATGTTCCTTCACCCTCACCGGTATCATCCTGTTTCCGGATAGTGTTTTTATCTGCCTTTGTTGCTCAATTAAAAGGCATTAAGCATGGATTACATGCACGTAGAAACACACTTTTTCTGCTACGCGTAACGGTATGGGAGAAGGTAACTCTACACGACCTATGGTGAGCATATTTCTTGCCTGATCACCGTCCCGTCAAAAAAAAAAACATGAGCCAGATGAAGGCCATGCGCAGTTTTTTCGTAAACTCTGACCAAACAAGTTCCAAAACTTTGTCAAATATTATTTTCATATTCACCTCACAGATGCACGTCAACGTCTTATTTGATCTGAAAATGACTCGTTAACATTGAAACAGACTCAATTTGGATCCCGATGCTGTCTTCAACAAGTTTATTTTCAAACCTATTTAGTGATGAGCTTTGTTAGAAATATTTTCCTGCCAAAAACTTTAAAAATGTGTTTACCTCATCTTTTTGCGTCGCACTGCAAAATAAACTGCGTTTTCCGGTTCTGTAACACTTGTCTTCATTTACCGTCGTTGCGCAGTTATAGTGCTTCAAATGTTGCTAAAATCTCGAAAAATTAGGAATTCAAGTATTTAAAGATGTCAAGATACTATTTCAGCTAAAAGTTATCCAGTGGGCAGAGCACTTGCACGCTAATTGTGTATAGAAAATGTAAAATTTGAACAAAAAAATCATCAGAATTTGGATTTGAATTTTATGTTATTTACATAATGCGTCTGGATTTGGATTTTTCTGCCGATTCTATTTGAGCTTGCACGTGGATATCCGTCATGGTAAAGTCGAACATTTAAGTGGCGCTTCGCGTAAACTACCGTGCTCCAAACACAGCTAATTTTAATAGGATCGTGAGGATATCGTTTATATGGTTACAATTCACAACCTTTATGTGAAAAAGCCTTGCGGAATGGAAAGCACTTAGAAGCATCTTACGAATATTTTTTTAAGCAGAATTTTTTCCTCCATCATCGTTTTTCTTATGTTGATTTTTTAAGCCAATTATTTTCAGTGCCAAGTTTAGGATTTTTGCACCCTCATAACTCGACGGCCATTCGTCACGCAACAAAACTGCAAACATTTTCTTGTTGGTCACGAAAACACAATTGGGTGTTCCAATTTTAATATTTTCATATATTTTCTAAGGTGGTTAGTTTAACAGCCACTGCTTCCAGCGTTTCACCAGTACGGTTCTTAGATCTTTCCAGCTGGGAGAACGGAAGCTATTAATTTTTGAATATTCATCAAAATACTGATTCATTCTTCGCGGTGGTACTCCTTAAACGTACCGTGAAACAAAAGTTTTCGTGTCTCAAGTTTGAAGACATAAAAAATAAGCAATTTTTTGAAAGCTTTCTTTTCACCACTCGATGCTCATTGCAATTCTGAGCGTGCCAAGCATCTTTTTTCAAATCTGACCCATCATAACCTTGCCCTGTTCTTTACCCACTCTTTCCCCAGTATCCTTTTTGTGACTATTGAATGACTTGGAGTTGATATTATGGGATTGACGATAACAATGTTCATAGAATGTTATGCCTTAACGTTGCAAAGCAATGCTCTTCTAGCTTTGGAAGATAGACAAATTCCCAAAATCAGCGAAAATACTTCTCCCTTTTTGCACGTTTTCACTGGATAGCGAGTGCCATATTCGTGTTCAGCGTAGTTTTTCACCAGCACGCTTGAAGTTAACTCCTTGACACTCGGGAGTTCAAAATATCGTGGTGTCGTAGAGGTGGCATTGAAATCGCTGTTAAGAACATGTTTTTGCTTTTAAACTCGGCCAATTCTTGAGACGTTTTTAAACTTAAGCCATGGTCAAAAGAGCAGAAAGCCCGTCAGTTCTTATAATCTAAGCATTTTCGTAGAAAGTTCTTTCCAACGCCGTTTTCATGTTGAACACAGGAAAATGACCATTTCTGTACGATGTGAAAATTTGGTACCTGATATAAAACAAATCCTGAGTTAAAAGCGTTTTAAGTCTGCAGCAGTGCAGCCCGTCAAAATATACATCTACTGTGTGCCGGAACAATAAAATTTAAGTGATTTAAGTGATTTAAGAACAGTTATGCGTTACTTCCTTCGGACCAAAATTGACGCTTTCCTCTATAACTCAACACAGATACTGATCAGGAATCCGGACCGCTTTCGTTCTATATACAAGTTTCAGGAATGTCAGATTTGGGCTTTAAAAGCTTATTATCATCTTGGAAACACCTGTTGCAAATTTCTGAGCCTAAACAGGTGCGGAAAAACGACCTTGACTCGTTGGAAAGCTGATCGTGGCCGTAAATCATGTCTAGATTCAAAATTGGTGTCAGGTATTAGTATATATCTTTGAGTTTTACATCTCTGGCTGCCTTCATTAAAAGCCCCCATTTCAGTCATAGTTCCATACTTAGCCTTGGATCGGCTAATCCTAACTGGTTTTACCTTCTGTCCCAAGCAATTTCCATATCCTTACGGTTTGACCATGGTTAAACGATGACGTCACGGCCGTCAGCTCTTGGAATCTTAGATATTCGGCAGATGCGCTAATGTTTATATTTTGAATTAAACGTAAAAAATTGGTACTTTCCGGTGTTCAGGTAC